TTTTTATGTTATTGGAAGGCATCGAAGGAGTCACCAGCGGTAATCAGTACAAGTGGCGCCCAGGTCAAACTTCTTACTTGTGATTACCATTTGAAAAGCGCATTGGATTGTGGGAAAATCAATGTTTATCAACACAAATGTGGCACATGCGCAGCGCGACGACTACCGCGCTTTAAAGGTTCCATGTAATTATAATTGTAATCACGAAATTAAGTTTCAATATGTGGGATACAGTTTTTACGATCGTAAATATGTTTGTACTCTACAATCTTTAATGTTACAGTGACTTTAAATCAAACGACATATGTACCATCGTGTGTATCCGTGAAAGATTAAATAACAAATACAACCGTTGATCTTTGTGCAAAGGTGGTATAGGAAATAGTTCAAGAACACAAACCAGACGACTGGCAACAATCAACAAACAACGAAGTAAATAAGTTACTTCTCTTTTTGCATAGTTTTAATAAATATTGTTTAATCCCATTTAGATATACAAAAATCAAAAAAACTTATGACACTGATAAATTTCTAGAGTTAAAAATAGTAAATTTTGTATTTTTTATTTGCTTTTTATTGGTTTCTATGGCGGAGGTTTTTCTTTTTTATTTCTGTTTATATGTCAAACTTTGTTATTGTCATGAATTGTATTTATTACAAATGTATTTAGGTTATCGAAATTTCAGTTTAATAATAGTTCTGATCTTAGAAACACATCTAATAGCAGCACGTTCGTTTACAGAAATTTTAATCGTTGATATATATATATATATATATATATATATATATATATATATATATATATATATATATATATATATATATATACGGTAATATAGGTATATATACAACAGAATGTACGATATATTGATTCAAAAATCGTCGAATGGTACATATTATTTTTATATATGTTTTCATGTTATCAATGCTGTTATGCATACAAAATTTGTTTAATTTTGAAACTAATATTTTATGTTTTACGATTACTATTTAATTTCATTGGAATGTTTCTCATTCGATGGGGATTGATAACTACTCACCAATTCTTACGAAAGGAGATTTCGATTTGTCAATACCGAATGCATCACACATATGATCCTTGGCTTTGACTTTACGGTGTTTCATAGCGTCAAAATCACACCACTTGGCGATTGTTTTGACTTGCGATTCACTCAATGAGTGGCCAAGAAAAGTTGCAACTTTTTCAACTGCTGTGTTAAGGTTCTGTGAAAATGAATATTTGTCATTTGTCAAATGAAAAACAACGGGTGTTCTTGATGTTAATCATTGACAGTTATGATTGTGTTCTTGCGTCTTACCAAAAAGCATTATTAATAAATGGAAAAAGCCATGAACTGTAACACTATTGGGGGAAATAATGTCGCTCTTGTGCTTCTGTGGAGTTCTCGTTCTCAACGAGATCTCAGTGACCTTTTGTGGATAAGGATATTTATTAAGAAAACAAAAAAATTATACGTGAATGTAATCATATATCTTTCTTGACTGTAAGATCATATATACCTGACGGGACCTTACAAACTGTGGCGCTGTGAGGTTCGTAACAATACTGTTAACATATAAGTATGGTATGAATATATTACATGATGGTCATTGTTATGTAGTCAATGGCTGCCAAATGCACATTAAAGAATGGTCGCCGAGATATCGTTGAGTGTGAGCACCTCAAACAGTGTTCTAGTCTCTCGCATCATTGCATCAGCTACTCCATCGATCTATGTAACCATGGTAACTGGAACAGTGGTCGCGACGGCAGTAGCCATTGACACTATTTGAGGAGGCAGCAAATAAGGTTATGGTTTTTATCAATGGCATCCCGGCGGTCATTTACGTCTAATGTATATCTATACAAATCTTACCAGTTTCATGTTTTCGTATTTGAGGAAAAGAACATTGTCATCATTCCTCTTGTCCCACCAGTACAGAACATGAGATGGCCAGTCGCCCATCAACACTGTGTCCAACACAAAGTAAAACAACATGACATGACAACGAATATACATAGTGCAATAATATTATAATTGAACGAACATTGAAGTATAACGGCTAAAGTGTTGTGACTTTACACACGATCCAAAGGTAGCTCACGAAAGCACATAAAGAGAGTTAAAAATTAAATAAATAGAGAAGGGTTTTTTGGCAAAAAATATAAAAGGTACCTAAACGCCACAGTTTTGTGCATTTGACTTGTAAATAAAAGGGAGTCACAAATATCAGTTTTGATGCAAAATTACAGAAAAAAATATTCAGCAAAATTAGAACATTTAATGAAAAAAAAGATATAACATTTAATGGCAAAGGGAAATAGGTAAAAATTGAAATATCTCGTTCGAATAAATCTGAATTAAAAAAAATCTCAGCTATTTTAATGAAAAACAAACCTGCAGGACTGTGATACAGGTTGCATTTTCGAGACAATCTGTCGAGAACTTTGAGAAGTATTCAGCTTTCTTAGAACCCAAGATTGGGTATACTATTGTACAGAATGTATGTCAATTGTTGAATCAATCTTTTAAGAAATCGTTAAGGATTTCAGTTTACTTCGATGGAATTAATAGCCCAAATTTAGACCCTCGACCCCCAGGATAGCGAGTATTTTGTTTTAGCAAAATCCTCTGTAGCGGCCCAATTTAATGTTGATTAGTTAGACTGCTAATTTTTTGAAAGTCTTTTATAAGAACCTCTGAACATATTTACAACAATCATAAATTTCCGAATGATCAACTAGACACTTAAACTATTGCTTGAGTTTTTGACCACTTAAACTGTCAGTCAAATCGCCCACAGGATATATGTAGAAAGCTAGGAGCACCATACCAGGGCACAGCAAATATTCTGCTTAGCTCTGTTTAAAAACGGTAGTGAAGAAGTAGATCAAAAATTGTCAGCGCTAGTAATAGGGTTCTATGTCTAATGGTCCTCTAACTGACGTTGATGTTGCACACACGGAATGACAGACATAATCCTAGGATAATATATATATATATATATATATATACAATCAAGTACAATCAGAAATATATTAATATGATTCAAATTCGGACTCCTAAATATTGCTCTGTATTCCTAGTAATCCTTATATTTACCCAAAGTTTGCAATGGTCTATTATGTACTTACTATGGTTCAAAACCCTTTGAAACTAAAATGTTTTTTTTACTAATGTAACTTATGTTCATCGGTATTGGTCTAAAATTACATTGTTATAACATGCACTAAACATCTCACCTGACCCGTTAAGAAATTCTTCTAAGAATTCATCAAACGGTTTAAGTGTTTCAACCGCTGGTGCCACTTGCATGTGATAGAAATATGATAAACATACATCCTTTGGATTTCTCGCCACATATATTACCTACGAATGGAGTTACAATACAATTTTTCATTAACGATACAGGTGTGCTATCTCAATAAATATTACATTTTTGAATAATTGTTGAGGGGGGGG